ATGTTGACCCTCCTCACGGCAAAACCATGATGTTAATTTGAAGTTTTTTATGCCCAATTGTGTGAGTTGTTCTTCACTTTTCCAGTGTTCTGATGCGCAGAAAATTTTGCATTCTGGATGCATATTTAATGTGTGGTTTATTTTATCAATCGAGTTTCCAAGAGACTGCACATTTTGGTGTATTAGGCTTATCAGAGAGTTGGAATTTGTTTTGCCAGTCGCTGTGTTGCTGCTTGTGGGTTGATTTTTCTTGTCGTTTGTTAAAAAAAAGCATCTGAATAATTTATTTGACTCTGGAAGTTCTTAAGTCTTCTTTGGTACACAGGGCAATTACTGTCGCGTGCTGAATGTTCTTTGTATTTCATCTTCACACAGTTGACACACTTAAAGATTACTGATTGGCATTCCTTCCCTGCATGGTCATTATTTGCTCCACATTTATGTCAACACTCGTTTCCACCGCAATACTTTGCGACCAAACCACAACACTTAAAACAAAGAGCAAGGTTAAAATGCTCTTGCACATACACTTTCGTTAGATCGAAGTTTATAGTTTCCTTCTTCAAAAACCACTTAGATATTGCTGGTTCTGCTTGTAATATCCAATTTTCCTTACTTGGATTTCGACACGATTTTTTGGTTATAACTTTCATTTTGTCTTTAATGTCGGTTATTGGCAATTCAGATTCTATTTCATCATTCATTCTCTTCAACAAATTCAGAGTCTGAGTAGCCTTTAAGAATTCCAGAGATCATAAACATGGGATTAATCGCCTCATTTTCTTTAATCTTTATATTGTGTTTATTATGCAGGGTGTCTTTCAGTTTTCTTTGTTGGGACTCATTACGGCTTTCTACGACTATTGCTCCATTTTTCAGATGTCTAATACTTTTAAACCCTCCGCCTATATCGGCTCTTCCAATTTCTTTTTTAAGTTGGTGCATGGTATCTTTTGGGTTAGACATGCTACCCTATGAATAAAAAAGAAACTGTATGGATAAAATTAGCTTTTGCTACATTTTCAAAGCAATTGCTTACAAATAGTTAAGGATGCCCTAGACCATACTTAAAATAATTTTCAGTTGCGGTATTAGTTTCCTGCAGTGTGCAAGCGTTTCCTCACCTTTTACAAAATGGCCGAATGCATATATTCACACAAATAAAGTGTATTCTGTGAGAAAGAATTGTCAAGAGTGCGATTTTAAAAAACTTTATTAGTTTAATAAAGCAAATGTGGAATGGTTAGCTAATTATTTTTTAGATGATACAGGCGAAAGACGTGGAGGAGCACTTTTACGGCTAACTAAAATGAAAGTATTTTCGCAATCTCTAGTAGATCCTGGAGCGGAGGAAATTGGAATAAGTACACCAATCCACAATTTGCAAGATCCACGATATAATGTTATCAATTGCATCCTGAGAAAATCTCATGGATGGATTAAATGTTCAAAAAGTATTGCTGATATTAATGATGCAACAGCAGTGGTCAGAAAAATATGCATTTCCAAATGCAATAGGTGTTAAAGATTGCACGCATCATGTCAGAATACCTAAGTTCGAGTTATATATGGGGATGAATACATTAATAGGCCTTTCAGCCATCAATGTGCAAGCAACATGCAACGCTGAAGAGGACATGTTCACTAGTGTAGTAATAGAATTTTCAAAAATTTAAGCATTTATCGTTCTTGACAATTCCTCTGAATAATGCTTACATGTGATGAGGGATATAACACCTTGGTTAATGATTCCATTGAGAAATCCTGTCACCCCAGAGCAATATAATTACAATAATTTGTTTTGTAGAGAACGAGTTATATAACTTTGTTGTGGTGAAGTAATCTCTAGTTTGGTTTAATTTCGTCGCCCTAGTTGTGAATGATCGTAATCCACACAATGTTCATTCTTGAGTTGTGAGTGTTAACCTTGCTGTTAACATACTTAAAAATGTTTAAATTTTATGTTGATCTAAGCCAGTGATCAATATTTGACCTTGTTATAGTATATTTGCTAATTAAAAAGCATATTTTCACCAAAAACAAAAATTTTAAATGCAGTTTACTCACAACTTACCTTGAGTGGATTACGACCATTCCATTCACAACTAGGGCGACGATTTGCTAATTTTATAGGTAAGCAATTGCTAGAGAGATGTTAGATAAAGCAGCATTTGCTCAAAGATTTTATTCATATCAAAATCTAGCAATTGCTTTTACTTGTAGCATTTGCTAATAGAGCAATTGCTTTTGCTAAACAGCAATTGCTACAAGTAATTGCTTGATTTTTATTCATTAGGCTCATTGTCCGCTTGCGGTGGCTTTGCGTTCTTCCATGATTGGCGTTTTTTTACTACCACTTCCTATGGAATGTCAAAGTCCATTGATATTATCGTTCTGGTGGTTTAATTTGGCATTCGAGCCAGATTCAAGCAACAGGTACAACAGGTAATATCTTTTACTTAATTTCTTTGAAGCATATGCTCACAAGTAAAAGATCTTCATTATTCATATGATATGGAGTAAATGCTTACACTTCTACCTTTTACTTGAAGCTTTTGCTTATACTTCTACCTTTTGCTTAGAAGCAAATGCTCTATTTTTATTCATACGGTTGATGTTCTCAATTTTTATCACTGTTTCCAGTTTTTGTGATGCTTTCGGTGGTGTGGTCCATGCTTTCTCAGTTTCCGTTCCTATACTTGGTCTTGATTCTGACATTTTTTGCGCAACATCTGCATACGTTTTTTGTTTGGTAGTGTCTGATATTTTATAACTTGATTGTGAGTGTATGTTCGGGTTAGTTGCATGTATCAAAGATTTAAGTTTTAATTCATGTTCAAGTTTGATTTTGTCTTGCTCCAGCTGTCCGATTTTTAACGTTATTAGTGCTAAATTCTTCTGTATGGCGCTAGTTGCGATTGTTAAAATGTTTTGGCTCTCTTTATCTATGACTATGTCATTATTCACCTTTTTACTGGTGTGAGATTGGATTTTCTCTAGAGCTTCAAACATATCCCTAATGATGTTGCTCATTTTTATGTCTGGTTCTTCTTGAATTGGTTTTGTTGCTATATCTGGTAAATCTATTATTGGTCCTTCACATGCTCTTTTATTTTTGTTTTCCTCCCCTGGTGACATATCGCCTCGCATATGCTTGCCGTAGTTGAACTTTTCGAGATTCCCCGGTATTTGCTCACTTTTATTACCGTCGTCGTTATCTTTATCTTCAAACGTAAAATAGATAGGTCTATTGTTCGAACGGAAAATTCTTCGAAAGGAAAATTGTTCGAATGGAAAATTATTCGAAAAGAAATTTTTTTGAAAGGAAAATTGTTCGAACGGAAAATTGTTCGAAGGGAAAATTGTTCGAAGGGAAAATTGTTCCAATGGAAAATTATTCGAACGGAAAATTGTTCAAACGGAAAATTGTTCAAACGGAAAATTGTTCAAAAGGAAAATTGTTCGAATGGAAAATTGTTCAAAAGAAAAATTGTTCGAATGGAAAATGGTTCAAATGGAAAATTGTTAATAAATGTACTTATACGCCTCAGAAACGTAAATCCACCAAAATCGTGAAAAACCTAATAAATAAATAAATAAAAATTATAAACAGTATAGGTTTTAGGAAGCCCAAAGATGTCAAAATCGTAAATAAAAAATCCAGGTACGTATTTAAAAAAAGGAAGTTGAGGATGGCCGCCTGAAGACGAAACGTCGAATTTTAAATTTAGTAGCTCCATTTTCTAAAGGGGAAAAAGTGACAATGCTGAAGTGACATTTATTTTAAAATTGATTTTCAAATAAGCCCGGGAAAAAATAAAAACGATTCTACAAAATTTCGTTTTTTTTCCGAATATCTCCGGAAGTATTTGGAATCATTCTAGTTTCAAAACGGCATTCTATTGGTCATAAAATTGCACAGCTTTGCCATAATTTAACCGACCCCGTATCTCTTACGGTTACCGAGATCCCAATGATGAGGCTCGAATTTTGGCCATCCTATACTATTACATGCCATTGAACAAAAAACTATAAAGTTACAAGATTTTTAAAAATGAACATTTTCTTCTATGAGACCAAATATGACATGCCTCTACATTTTGATTATTTACTCAAAAACTACTTGAGGCTCAAATATGAGATTTTGAGGGAATATTTTGAAGACTTAGAAGCAAAACATACCGAAAATTCCAATAAATTGAATAAGAAATTGCAAAATTACAAGATTTTTAAAAATGAACATTTTCTTTAAGATTAAAAAATATTACATGCCTCTACATTTTGACCATTTACCTAAAAACTACTTCAAACGCAAATATAAGATTTTGAGGGAATATTTTAGAGGCTTAGAGGCAAAACATACTAAAAATTCAAATAAATTGAATGGAAAATTACAAACTTACAAGATTTTTAAAAATTTCTTCCATAAAAATATACATATATAACATACCTTTACATTTTGACTATTTACTCAAAAACTACTTCAAGCCCAAATATGAGATTTTGTAGGAATATTTTTGAAGTTTAGGGGCAAAACATATTGAAAATTCAAATCAATTGAATGAAAAATTGCAAAGTAACAAGATTTTTGAAAATGAACATTTTCTTCTATAAGACTAAATACAACATGCCTCTACATTTTGACCATTTACTCAAAGACTACTTGAGGCCCAAATATGAGATTTTGAGGGAAAATTTTGGAGGCTTAGAGGCAAAACATACTAAAAATTCCAATCAATTGAATGAGAAATGGCAGAGTAACAAGATTTTTAAAAATGAACATTTTCTTCTGTAAGACTAAATATGACATTCCTCTACATTTTGTCCATTTACTCAAAAACCACATGAGATCCAAATATGAGATTTTGAGGATATATTTTTGAAGTTTAGAGGCAAAACATTAAAAATTCAAATCAATTGAATGAAAAATTGCAAAGTAACAACTACTAAATATGACATGCCTCCACATGACGATATGTCATTGTGAATTAATAACATACCTTTCGATTCCGGATTGGCAATAATCACTTTAACTCCTGGCAAAAGTTTCCCGCTCTCCATCAAACACAAACTATGCGGACTGCCTCGTTCCACCAAACTAACCCTGTCATTTCTCAACGCCCTCAAGTCCACATAAACCGTAGACGGTTCCGGACTGGAAGCGCCTTGCAAACAAATAGCCACATTGACTCTACAACCAAACGAAGTGGATACAGCCCTGGGACTTAAACCAAGGGCGCTGAAAAGCTTGGAAAAACTGGTAGTCAAATTGATCCTAGGCCGTTCTTCTCCCACCACGACGCACGTCCTGACGCAACCCAAATTGACTCCTCGTGATTTTAATTGAGTCACTGAAGATCCTAAGCCTTTCGTGCACAATTCCATGACTCCGTACGAACAAAAAGTGTCTCTGACTTTATATTGAGACACTGCGGTGAGCCACAAGGAAGGATTCACTTCTACTTCTGAAGGGGGGATCAGGATGGAATGGTGACCGGAATATATACTACTTAAACACCTATAAAAATAACAATTTTAGTTGTCGAGTTTTAAATTTGGATGAAAAAGTTACCATAAAGCGAATCCTAAGCCGCAATACGGATCTAAACATAAAGCTATGTGTCGACTAGGGTACAACTCGCATGCGAGTTTCATGCTTTTACATAAATTCGTCACTGCTGCGTGGGATATTTTGATGCCGGCCAACATGCCAGTAGTCGAGACGCTAAAGTCCAAATAGGCCAACATTTCAGCTGTCGGAGCCCTACAACAATTAATAAATAAGATTGCCTAAAAACATTAAGTAATTAATTACCTATAAACTACTGGCAATTTTTTCTTTGGCATATCGTCAGTGTCCAAAATGACTGGCCAAGCTTTAATGTCTACGACATTACTGGCTTCTTTGGAACGCAGCAATTTAATCACAGCCTGAATAGACAACACCAAAACTGATTTTGATACGTCCACTATCATTCTTACTGTTGGCAAAGTGGTTTGGAGGTTTTGAGGGTGAGGTGGCCTTATTGTCACAGGAACCTATATTTAAATACCACTATTAGAGTTAGATATTAAAAGAAGAATTAAGACTTACAGCTCCAACATATAAGCACCCATAAAACGCACAAATCAAATCCAAACCTGGCGGAAATATTAAAGCTACATGATCGCCGGTATTGATGCGTCCTTTTTCCACTAGCAAATTTCCTATACGTTCAGCCTTCTTGTGCAACTCTGAACAGGAGAGGACTTTGGCCGCCGCTCCTTTGCTGTTCAGCAAAGTGAACAAAACATGATCCGAAGTGCTTTGGGCTCGCCATCGTAGAATTTCGGCAATCATTTGTTGCTAAAATAAACAATAATAATTGTTTGCGGAATCAGATTATGAACAATTACTTTTTTGGATGAGTCGCCGTCCTCTTCGACCAATCCGCCGACTTCTCTGCCTTGGGCGCTGGCCAATCGGTTGCCCTGCACCAAATTGCCCACGATTACGCTCGCGGGACCCACGTCTGAAACACAGTCGGTTGCTGAAACGTACAGAAGGACGCACGTGTCACTCAAAAAGCAGAAAAGCTATTTTTCGTGTATTATAGTAGGAATTTCAGTGAGGGTTAGTATAATAGAGAATTAGCTCAGCAATTTTAGTTACGGTGTTAATAAAAAAATTAGGAGGAAAATGTTTTGTTAGTCTGTGCAAGAGAATGTCAAACTAACCAACACCAAAACTAAAATGTTCAATATCTACACTATGCAGCATTCAATCAATAAGAGATGCTTGGTGTAGTTAGCCTAAAAGTGTTGTTGTTTAAATTACCTGAATGTACTTCTCTAGGCTTTGGTAAGTTTGTGATGCACGTATGAGGACACATGAGAACGTTGGCAGGATGCAAACCACCTTCCAAAAATCGCCTCTTAGTTTCAGACAAGTGGATACCTCCAAGAGGTGTTTTCGGTAGATAATTGGGTGGTACTAGAGCTAAACAGTAAATTCCTACTTGGTGGATCGAGTCGACTGCTTGTAACACTCGTGACATCCACTGGAATGACTATAACAAGTAGAATTTTATTTATTTTTTTCAAATTGATAATAGTTACATAGATTACCTCTTCCTCACTACAATCAGGCCTTTGTTCGGCAATGACGCAAATCCTTTCGTCCCTCAACACTCGTATACTAAACACAGCGATTCGGCCTCTATAAATAAATTTCATTGGTTCCACAGCCAGTACCGTCGCTATTATATCGTCAGCATTGTGTTTTCGACCTGACATAATTAAGAATTGTGGTAAAAAGTAATGATGTGTGAAAAAAAAAAATTACCTGTAACTGTCATAAGTCCATCTCGTGAACCGCATACAAATACCAACCCGCCAGGACCTAGAAAACCTAAAAGTCCGCTTCTGGTGTATTCAGCGTCTGAGATTGGTTTTCCATCGGTACCCAACGGTTGCACCTGAAAATTTCCATGTATATCTTTTATGTGGCAATGGACTAATATAGAATTAAACCACAGACTCTACCAGGACTTTGATAAGTTTTTCAAAATGTAAAACAAACTCTCGTTAGAGCCAAGTTGAGAAGGGTCTCTATGTGAGAAATATGTTGAATGATGAAAAGGCTGACATGTTGGAGATACAAAGTTGTATTTGAGTTTTAAAAAGAAAAATAACAATTATCGTAGCAGTAATAAGCCAGCTTTATTTGGTTGATTTTCTCTTAAGTTCTCACGATGATAATTCTGCTGCTCTTTAGGAAGAGGTTAAATCTCTTGACACATTAGAGATTATTTTAAATTGAAATTACAAGTAGAAGAAATGTGTAGTAGGGATAATTTTACTACAGTACTAGTACTAGTACTTCACAACACAGACTGAAACTAGATACTTCTAATTGAATTTGAAAAATTTAGCGGAGATCTTAAGGAATGGTTACCATTCAAGTTTCATAGGATAGACAAAGATTCGGAAATAGAAGATGAAGACAAATTTCCGTATCTTCTGCAGTCGACTCTGTCAAATTCTCGTACTCGTGTTTCGGTAAAAAGCTACCCTGCTACTGCTCAAAACTATCCAAAAGTAGTTCAAAGTTCAAAGTTTAAAAACACGTTTTGGATGGCGCTATTACGACAGGAAGTTGCCGAATCAGTGAGCAGCTCCCATGTTGAGTCACTAAAATGAAAATTCTGCGTTCCTCAAGGTATAGGTGTATTGAAAGTCGCCCAACCTACTGTAAGAAAGTTTTCAGAGTTGTCAGTGTTATACTCAATAAAAGTTCAACTTTATTCTTATATTTCTGATTGTGAGGAAGATGTGTGCTTTTTTCAAATAGAATGCGTTATGTTTGGTTTTATATTCTTGAAGAACACAATTTCCCGATTTCAAAACTATATAGTTTGTCTATATTTGGTTGAGCCGTCTCCAAAATATTTAGTTCTAAAAATTTTAAAAAGTACCTTAAATTTTACCTGCAGCTTTCACCTGTAGAGATAGAATGGTTCACAAAATCAGTAGTAAAATAGTATTTTTCTATTTTGGTGTCATATCGAAGTCTTTTCGACACTAAAAGTAGTTTCGAAAAGAAGCTCTTTGTGACACTCCTTTTTTACTTATCGGAGGTTGGTAACACTGGCTGACTGATGGCCATCGAACTGTCATTCGCGATAAAAAAAATAGAAGATTTCTATATTTGGCATGTAGTGTTGCCAACCTAAACATATGAAATCAGGAAATATGAGAATAAAATGTCCAAGAAAAGTTTGTTTTTTTCAATTAAACAATACCAAAATAGAAAAAATAGTATAAAATATTCGTTTCATAAGACGTCATTTTATCGCACGAGCCCTATATTAGAAAACGAGCCAGAGGCGAGTTTTCTAAAGGGCGAAACTTGTATTTTAATGTACTATTTTACAATTTTTGGAGCTGAATATATAAGAGACTGTTCAATCAAATATAGATCGGGGCATTGTGCTCTTCAAGAATATAGAATGAAATATAGGGCATCCCATTTGAAAAAAGCTGGGGGCATGCAAAATTTCACATTTCTGACATTCAAATTTCATTTCTGACCACGCGGTTTCCAAAAATTCAGCCAGAACTGTACAACTTTTGTATTTACACTTTTCTTTTATCAGTTTTACCTATGAAGGTAAAGGCTGTAGGTGGGGTGTTAATATATAAAAAAAACACCCTGTACAAATAAGTGGATTATTGCGGAACTTATGGGTGGATCTCTGCGGGACGAGCGCAGCGAGTTCCGCAGTCATCTACTCACCAATATATTGTTGAAGTGTACTAATAAGACACTCACCTGAAACGTGTAGTTTTTGAACTAATGGGAAAAATTCACAACTGAGTGAATCAGGTTGGTATTTTACTTGAACAACATATTGGTGAATAGATGGCTAGGTCCACCCATAAGTTCGGCAACAATCCACTCGTTTGTACTTGAATAACTTGTCATATTATATCACTAGTTTTGTAAAGTAACATTACTAATTCCTGTTGAAAAGCCAATTGAAAAAAAGTGGACAATCTTACAAATTCTGACTTTATATAATAAGTTATTTTTTTTACGAGCGTGCGGAAAAGTGCACCTTTCCGCACGCATTTGAGGTCATGTAAGTATCACTTTTCCGCACTAGTGCGGAAAGTACTTTTCCGCATTACTGTTCCGCACTCAGTGCGGAAAAGTAGAATACAGGTACTTACCGGTATACAGGTATACTACAGGTACAGGTACGAAAAAGTGGAAAAAATATCTTAAATTGATAAATATGTAGGTAAAAATATTAACTTTTTATCTCGTAAAAAAAATAGTGTTCCTAACTCGTGCGGAAAGTCTCTTTTCCGCACTTGATTGCTTCCCGAACTCCGCTGAACTGCAATCGTGTGCGGAAAAGTGGTACTTTCCGCACTAGTTAGGAAATAACACACGGAAAAGTTGAGGTAATTAAGGAAATCCGTGTGGTAAGTGAGCTAATCACAACGATGTAGCGATGTACTTTTGTTTATGTGCGTTGTAATTTGACTTAATAGTTGAAGTTATAAGTGTGCATGCGTCGAATAAGAAAATTAACTTCATTGTAAAAACATATCTTCTCAGTTTCGTACGTTAATTATAATTTCCCGTACGTTAAGTGAATGTAAATGACCCTTACTTTTCCTTTTTCTTCTGCTGTTCAATTCAACTTGCTTTTCCAGTAGCACCTACAGTTACCAGATAGCATGTAACGGTTTCAGCAGTAACAATTCCACTCTTCCATGAAAATTACGACAGTTGGCTCGTATTTTATGACATATTCTAGCAAGTGATAGATGAAAATCGAGCAATCAGTACCAAGAAAAGATACAATTCTTGAAGACGCATATGTACGAGGTGAAGCTACTAGTAGAGTCATTCAACATTTGTTAACGTCAGAAGTCAATTACGAGACAGCATGGACAAAATCATTGATCTTCCAGTAATACAAATGGAAAGAGCAGATAAAATTAAACAATTACACGATGTAACCAAAAAATGCCTTCAAGCAATCACAAAGAACCTTGCCCAAAGTATACGGAAATTGTGTTTATGTCAGAATTGGCTGAATTTTGTATATAATGTAGATCTCTTATATGATGTAGATCACGCCTTTCTGACTAAAAGTTATCATTGCACCAATCCTGAAAAATGACTGCATGTAGCACACCACTGCGTCACAAGTTTACCTATTCGTGCTACATTGAACGTTCATTACAATGTCCAAGCGTTTTACTTACTACCTATGAAATTAATTTTCTCAAAAAGGAGTAACTTTTCAGGAATGGTGCAATGGTAACTTTTAATCAGAAAGGCGTGATCTACATCACATACAAAATTCAGCTAATTCCGCTAATTCTGACACAAACACAATTTCCGTATACTTTGGGCATGGAAACAGTCATGGGGTCCAATGTTAATACGACTTAGGTATTTGAAGGAAATGGGATTCAGAGACGAACAAAGTCTATGAACAAAGTATCCAGAACCCTCATGAAATACTATAAGGCTTTGATATGTTCATGAAATTTTTGGAAAGAAGATTTCATTCTTTAGAGACTGTAACGCCGTCAGTAAGGGAAACCAATATCGAACACGGCATGTCATCAACCAATGTTCCAGCTTCCTAATTCTATCGATAGCAGAAAGAAACCAATTTATATCTAATGACAATGTATGATATCCAACTACAGAGGAAGTCCAAATTAGTGGAATAGAATCTTGGAAAAATTAACTGCTAGCAGATCCGACCTTCATGAAGCCCGGTCCCATAGACGCCATACTTAATGGCATCCAGAAAACTGAAGACGGTCTTCTTAAGCATAACACGGAACTTTCATAGATAGTATATATTTGGTCTAGTTCAGACCAAAAAACCACCAATACAAGTCATTAGCCTGGTAACTCAATCAGAAAAAGACAAACAATTGATTAAACTCTGGGAATTGGAAGAAGTTACACAAGCTAACAAGTATACAGAAGATGATCAAATCTTTGAAGAATTCTATGAGCAAACAACAATAAGGAATAAGGACGGCATGTTCGGATTCCATTTAAAAACTTAACCAGTTACTTAGGACAGTGGAAAAGGTTCCAAGCCTGACAGTTATGAGCATCGTTCTGTGCTGTTAGGAAACGCAAATATGGCGTCAAGTCGTACTTAAGCCAAGACGCAACCTTGAGCATTGACTATGAATACGGGCCTAAGGGCGATTGACCAGTCGGTAACTTTGACAGATGAGCAACGCATTTTACGTCATTCAAGACCAATTGGTCAAAAAATGACGTTTACTTCATTGTTTATCTGTCGAGTGTGTCCGACCGATCAAACGCTAGAATAGACCTATCTATTTTAACAGACAAAGAAGTAATAATACGGAAACTTTATTAGATAGAAAAAGACGCAGAACGCTTATTGCGCAAGACGAGGCAAAAGTATGCACCAAATTATGTTAGACTTACGTATAACAATCCGTTCTTATTATTTGCATGGGATAAAAAAGGAAGGAGGAAAACCGCGTGACATGCAACGTATTTGTCAATCAAAAACACAAACAATTGAAAATCGATCACTTGTCAAGCTACGTGAAATTGAATATCAAGCATCAAGCATAACTTTATCCTTGTCAGACCACGGGCAATGAACAAGGACAAGGAGATGCCCAGAGTGCAAAAGGATTACTTCACACCTGTACTAGTAAGCCAATAAAAATGCATTGCCTCGTGTTGCGCGCGTATACAGGTAAAAATAGATAGGTCTATTCCTCTTAAGTGTCGCGGCGCCGAGTGGCAGACATTTGATGTAGATGAGGAAGACAAAAGTGAAAAAGCGCTGCTATCATATCGCACAAAAACTTACTGCCGTTTAGTAGTATTTTAATTGTTTTCGCAATATATTTTCTCTATTTTCAATATAAAAACTAAAAATTTGGGTAGCTTAAAAATTTTCTAGTTTTCTGGGGGGTAATTACCCCCATTATCCCCCCTGTATATGTGCCTCTGGATGTCTTGATTTCCTAACATTCAATTTGTTGTGTAAAGTTTATCTTTTTAATTTAATACTTCAAAGGAATACAAACTGGTGGCTCCGTACGTTAGATCGCCATTGGTCAGCTGACGTCTCACACCTGTTTTTGCCATAATATGCCTCACCCCCTCGCTCTTCATACGGAAAGTATCAGATTAAAAACGACGGACAATATGTCTGTAGCTTTTGTGATGTCTCACTTATATTGAACCTCAATCAATATTCAACACAATACAGTTACAAATTCTCAGTTCATGCTGAAACCAATAGGATGCTGTTGGTTTTGCAAAATACCGAGAATATGAAAAATTGGATTTCAATTATAAGTAAAATAATTACCTTAAATGTAGTGTTGCTCAGTCCAGGAAGTCCCCAATACTGAGTACCGGTGGCGCCGGAATTCACACAAATCTCGCCCACTTCATCGGTTTTACACAAATAAGACACTCCCTCCATTTTAACAACGACTATCACACAACCGGGCATCACTTGCCCGCAATCTTGCAACGTCAACGACGTCAAACTGTTTTCCTGATCCACTCGCACCACTCCGTAACTGAGTCCTTGCATCGAAAGTACTCCTCGGCCCGTTGCATTCACACTAACACCTCTGCCGGGACGTCTGGCGGAAACCTACAACGCACTCGATAAAATATTGATTGTATGCATATTGAGTGACTTACAGTTAAACATTCGCTTGAGCTAGCGCAAGGGCAAATAGTGTCAGCCCTAAGCCCCTTGGATTGGAACACAGACAAAAATTGATCACAGCTACTTAGAGACCAGGGGTTGGCACCGTCAGCTACCAAAAGCATCCGCAACGAGCTCAAATTGATGTCCTTATGGTCTTTGGTCGCCAACAAACCCCAATGAAGGTCTCTGGATTTGACTATAGCGACAGAGGCACGGTACTTTGTAATCATTTGCATCCAACTGGCTGGATTGGCTTTCATTAAAGCATAAGGGATGTAAATCACGTGCATACCGTTTAGGACGCTTGTTAATACTGAATGCCACAGTCCGACCTAAAAAATAATCGTCACAAAAATCCCTAAAATTTGTAAGTACATACTTCTCGCTTGAAATCCAAAACGCACACCATATTTTCGCCTTCTGTATAGTTACAGGCCATCGTTAGCATTCTGCAATGTTGCACCATGGCCGCTCTAGCTATAGTTACTCCCATTACAGAGCCGTCTCTGTCGGTGCTGTATTCTATGTAAGCTGGCGTTTCGTCAGTAAGTCTTGGTTGCGGGGTCCAGTCTTTTGGGGTTTTGGCCAGATGTTCAGTTACGAACCAAGTGAGCTTCGGCCAGCCTTTGAATTGAATCACTTCGCCAGATGTCGTTTTTGGTAGGCCTTTCAAACAAAGCTCTGACGTTAGAGCAACCTAAAGAGTATATTAAATCATTTTAATATTGCAATAATTGAAAAAAGTGGTACCTGTACTGCACAGCTGCCCAATAAAAATCCAATTTGCAACGAACCGGCGTCTCGTCTTGTAATTGGTACCTCAATGGGTACTGGTACGATGCCAGCCTGGATACACCCGTAGTAGGCGCACAAAAAATTGATGGGGTCATTGTTGGGGTAGACTAGAGCCACTCTATCGCCTGATTTGAGGCTGGTATCGCCGTTTTTACTGAAGGACTTTGTTAGGAGGGCGTAAGCTATTTTATGAGATCTTGAAAGTAGTTTACCTAAAATAATTTTCATATGTAAAACGAGTATGTATTAAAATGTAAATTCTTACCGTAAGTTAGAGTCGTCGACAATTTTCCATTAGGATCTAAAACTGTAGCCACGGGCGCCTTAAAACTAGCGTTGCCGTATCGTAGGATGGCAGCTTCTAGATTTCTAGGCAATCCCGAGGGTATCGTCAATTGTTCACCAACTGCTTGAGTCATACAACTTCCTAAGAGAAAATGTAATGTTTTCCAAAAGTAGAAACTTGATTAGATATATAAAAATAAAAGTTACCTTCCGGTTTAGGTGCATTAGGATCTTTAGGATTCGCTGCCAATTCCAATTCGATATCGTCGTCTTCGTAAAATTCGGGCAGCGGCCGGCGCTTGGGCCGTTTCAAAGTGTTGAGCAGTTGCTGGATTTTTGCCGACACCTTTTTAATAAACAATTAATTCAGGCTAAATATAGACCGTGCGTCAAACAAATTAAATTGGTCAATTGAGAGATAAAAATCTCGATAAAATTCGTTTTGAATTCGAGTTACCTTCCATCTTCCCGTTCCAGTGCCCATTGTGCCGTCTTCCGAGGCTGAAGATGTGAATCTGTTGACTCTGTCTGCGTTGCGACGGGTCCCTTGGGCTGTTGTGTTGTTTGTTACATCTGGAGGTTGAGAATCTGTGGAGGAAAATACATGAAGTTACATCGTTGATTTGGAGTAACTCACTATTGCCAGCAGTATAGTGGTATTTAGAAGAAACTACTAAGAAATATCTTAATATAATATAGCTCATAAAAAATCTACAGAAAAGTATCCAGACTATTGTGGAATCTTGTAAAATTCAATGTGGATCTACGAAAAGGTTTCTTAAAGATCGTCGATAATCTGTAAATTTTCGCTGTTGCCAAAGGAACTTTGCAGAGACTGATGATTATTGAAATGTCTTAATTCAATCTTCAGCTGATAAAAAACCTACAGAAAAGTATCCAGATTCCAGATTTTCATGTAATCTTGTAAAATTTAACGTAGATCTTGTAGTAATAATCTCTAGAAAAATACCTACAGGTTTTAAAGCACCTATGGCCCTTATGAGTTGGAAATATGAAAAAATTTGCTTCAAATTGAGTTTTTATTTTTATTCTGATGATTTTCAATAGAGCTCCACATTCATCTTTTGACCAATGATTAATACTTTCTTTATCAACATTGTGTCCATTTTTTTTCAAAATCGGTACTTATTGTAATAGAGGACTACAATCCCAGAATATTTCAGATCATTTGCACTTATAGTTCCTGAGATAAAATCGTGTTAAGCAATTGGGGTGATAACTTTTTTTCTATTACAGATAGAAAGCTAAAACTTTCACTGAATTTTATCCCTTTCAAAGGACTACAATGCCTGAAAATTTCAGCGCATTTGCACTTATAGTTCCTGAGATAAAATCGTGTTAAGCAATTTGGGGTGATTTATCAATTTTTCAATTTTTCTGAGTGCCTTTTTTCATAAATTTCGGCTTCAAATCTGAGAATAATTTAGAGTATGGAGTTTGGGATATGTTGATTGACCATTAGGATACACAATCTCGACAAAAAAAAATTTGAAATTTCATCGTTTTAGTAAGAAGGTACCTATACCTTATGATTTAAATTTTGGAAAACTTTGAAAGATCATAACTTTTTTTATATTATAGATAGAAAGCTGAAACTTTCACTGAATTTTATCCCTTTCAAAGGACTACGATGCCTGAAAATTTCAGCGCATTTGCACTTATAGTTCCTGAGATAAAATCGTGTTAAGCAATTTGGGGTGATTTATCATGAAATTTCATCGTTTTAGTAAGAAGACCTTATGATTTAGATTTTGAAGTTGGAAAATCATAACTTTTTTTTTTCCATTATAGATTATAGATATAGAAAGTAGATTTTGTCATAATAATTCCTAGAAAAATACCTACTATATGTTGTAAAATTTAATGCTTCAAATCTCTCAAGATGAACAAATTATATACAATTTTGCAACATTGTTAGATGACTAGAAAATTCGCAAATACGAACTTATTATCCAGACAATTCTAGAAACAACGACACGCTACAAAACGGAATCTACTTACAAGGTCTGAAATTCTGCAAGACGTCGCTGATGTCGGTGATCTCCTGCTGGCTACGGCCGCGCTGGTCGTTCCACAAGGGCGGTGGCGCCCTCGGGCGTCGCTGCAGGGGCGGCGGAGACCCGGCGCTCGAAGTGTCGCTCGGCGGCGGGGGCGGGAAACCGTGGTGGCCGCGGTCGCCGCCGCTGCCGCCCCTCATTATCGCTTTTTCCCGTTCCGGCGTACTTTCGACCGTCGTTGCCGCCTCCTCATTTGCTAAACTGTCTTCGTCCGAAGATGATTCTAGAATTTAAATTGATTCTTTATTAGTTTCTATACATGCACATGGAACCGTTTTTTCAATATTTGTGATTCGAATTATTAATATAATAAATCAAGCAAATTAGGTTGATTTTCTTGTCGCTATGATTTTTCTACAAAAAAAAATAACCTTGTAGTATATTCGTTGCAAGTAAAATAAATAATGACGTCAACAATTAATTGAACACTCATTTAGTTGTTATGAGTCACTATTTGGAATTTTTATTTTCAAAGCAAAATGAAGCGTTAAGAACCCGTTAAAAACGGTACCAAAGAACCCCGGAAGAGCAAGAAAGGCTCTTTAAATATTTGTATGCGTACCATTGAAACAACCTCATTTTAAATTTTCCATTATTATTATTGGCAATTGAAGAATCTACAAGGAAAATATACATTTTAGAGGTTGATTTGTTGAAAACTAAGTAATTAGATTGTGGTATTTTACCTCGAAAAAAAATCCAATTAAATGTAAAATTATTCACAATTTTGCACGAAAATTGAGGTGATCCATTTCAATTATTGAAATAATCAGCCCTCATCATTATCCCCTTGGGTCACACCCGCAACAACAACACAAAGATATAAAAGACGTGTGTGTGTGTGAAGTATAAAAGCAAGTTCAACGATAACATAACGAGTACGTTTAGGTTGACTTGGTGAAACTGGTTCTGAAATCTTTATTGGGAAAGGAGAACATAACGAAAAAAAATTATTAAGAAAAAGCACACACGCAAACGAGGTGCGAGAACCAAAAGAACCCGAGCAGAAAACTGGTATTCTAAAGGCGGTACCAAGTTCTGCATCTCGATGCTCATTTGAAGGTTGACCAGGGGCTATTTTTTGGTGAGTCATTGAATAATGCGTCACGGGGCTACATTTGAATGATTCAATTGACAATGATTTCTATCTATTGTATGACCATCTGAAGTTGTCATCCGTATAATTAATTGTATTGGAAAGCATCAATAACAACGTGTTAGTACGACTAAAAGGAAGTCATTTATGTAAATGTAATTAGTACATTTGAATGTGTAAAAGTTGTGCTTGCATTAGAAATTGAAAGTTACAAGAGTCTTAAGGCAACTTAAAACAATATAAAGTGGCTCAAAATAAGAGCGTTGATTTTCAAATGAAAACATTGTGTAATATATATATATATATATATATATATATATATATATATATATATATATATATATATATATATATATATATATATATATATATATATATGACTAAATCTGGTTCAAACCTTGAAGTAAGTTACGCATTAATTTACATGTGCAAAAATAACATTACACACGGTTTTATGGGTGGAATTTCGATTGCATTGGGTAGTAAAAACAAGGCATTAAAACACACCTTGTATTTCGCTTTTGTAATCCTCTGACACTTTATATACGAACCGGAGTGAGAGAGAAAGGGACACGATAAATCAATTGAATCAGAAATATATTGTCCTGCAATCGTTTTACTTTCAGAATTATTTCTATAATAAGTATATTTTTTACACCGTGGATCAAATTAAAGTTTATCCGATATTGCTCAACTGAGATTTTGGAAATTCTAATGCATATTTATATATTTTTAATTAGAATTAACTGCTTTTAAATATAAAACAAGATTTAATTTTATATCTCGAATAGCTTTTGAGATATTGAAGTTAATGAAAGTTGTTTTTCTCAAAAACGATGCCCTTGGGCTCGGAGCCTTGAGAAAGCTACTTTGTAACCCTAATCGAGATCTTCAATATATATACCTATATATTATACAGGGTGGAATTTTTAAATGGAATAAAATTAGTATCAGAGAGCCTGTTTATTTTCTGAAAAAATAAAAAAAAAAACGGGTCCCTTTATTTTTAATTTGGCACATTTTGCAAAATTGCGAAATGCAAAAGTAAATCATGGGACATTTTACTTTTTTTTGCCCATTCCAACAAGCTATCACAATACATATCTTTACATTTGAAAAAAAAAAAAGTTGGGGATGGTTTCTACCCTTAGAAGAGGGGTAAATTCCATGAAAAGGCCGAAAAAATGTGCCAAACTGTGCTTCCACTCAATTGAATTGCTTGGGTATTCTTGTATCTGCCATTCTTTGTACATGTCCGAACCAAATCAGCTGTTTGTCCTTTATATCACCTACTATTGTGTGTTCTACGTCCATATTCTCCCTAATTCTCAGATCTGTTATCCTTCCTATTTTTGACCTGCCTGCCGATCTTTTCCAAAAGTCCCTTTCAGTTGCTTCCAGCATTTTTGCGGTTCTGTTCTTTAGTGGCCAATCTTCTGAACTATATGTGACTATGTTTTTGACTATGGTGTTGTATATTCTAGTTTTGTTGATATTTTGGTCTAACAGTACACCATTTAGTAGGGATATTGCCTTGCGTCCTTGTATATTCCGATCTTTGATTGCTTCGTCTAGGGTTCCCTCATGTGAAATTTTCATGCCCAAATATTTGTATTCAGTACAGTGTTTTATTTCTTGTCCGTTATTCAATTTCAGAGTTCGTTGTTCACCTCCTATAGTCATATATTCTGTTTTCGTAAGATTTACTTCCAAACCCCCATTTCTCGTATTCTTCTATCAATTTTCGTGTCATGTACTCTAGGTCATCATAGTCCTGTGCAAGACTTTGATTATGTTTCCCTGTTCAATCTTGGTCTTTGCATCACTATAGAGCGTTTTTACTGCTTTTATTAGTGCTAAGTTGATATTGGTCCTTTCCAGTGCTTCCCAAAGCTTTTTCAGCGGAATATTGTCATATGCTTTCTTTAGATCTACAAAAAGTAAATGGAGTTCATGGTTTGGTTATACACTGGGTTTTTTTCCATTATCTGGATAAAACTGAATAAGTAATCTACAGTTGATCTTCCTGCTCTAAAACCGGCCTGTTCTTCTGCCTCACTATCTTTTGTATTCGTTCTCTATTCTGGCTTTTATAAGTTTTCCATACATTCGCAATTCCTCGGTGGTTCTCGCATTTGTTTCTGTCTCCTTTCTTATATATCGTTGTTAAATAGCTTATTTTCCGCTCTTCAAGTACTTCATGTTTATCTATACATGTTTGAAATAGTTTTGTTAAATGTTTGTAGAGTTTATTGGTTCCACACTTTATCAGTTCTCCATATATTTCTCCTGGGCCTGGTGCCCTACCATTTTTCAAGACGCCGCAGTGTTTTTTAACTTCTTCTTGCATAACTCGTATAGGTGATCCTGCAGTTTTTATGTTTTGTGTCTGTTCCTTTTCTTCTTAAGGCCGTTTCACAGCTTGCAATTCTATATGCAATATACAAGAAACTTGAACGCCGACATGCGCAGAAGTGAGTCAGCTGATGGTTTCCTGCAAGATTCTTGAAACTTGAATGGCATTACATGCAATCGGTTTGGTGCCATTTTTCTTGAAAGTTTTCACGCAAGCTGGGGAATTTTTAGCAAATATGATGTTTAAAGTGGCTGCTGTTGCTTTCTTCTTTTTATATCGACTTATAATAACTTTTTTCATTTTTGTAAAGTGCAAAATATCAACAACATAAAATAAAAAAGTATGTTTAAGGTAAGAGAAGAAAACAACTCAAATCGCAAGGTGTAAAACGACGTGCAAGAAATCTTGAATGCAATTTTTTTGCATGCAAAAAATTGCATTCAAGTTTTCTTGCAAGCTGTAAAACGGCCTTTAGACTTCTTACCAAGATGGCCGACGGTGTAGATGGTATTTCCATAGTTAGTGAAAAAAACACGAAAAATACAAGTGAAAATGGAGAAAAAATGTGCAAACACTGCAAAAAAAAGTAAAATGAACCCAATCCAGTGTGGGAGATGCGAAAACTATTACGACTCTGCCTGTTTAATACAGGTAGCGACACAAAAAACAGCAATTTGTCGTCATGCACTGGCCTACAGGGCCGTAGCCAGGGGGGGGGGGCAATGCCCTATCTTTCAAATGATCATGCCCTACCTTTAAAACGCAACATGCGTTAAGGTTTCTCTAGGAAATTTAAGAGTTGATAATGGAAAGGCCTGAAATCGAGTAAGTATGAGGATAAGTGTTTCTGGAAACTCCTAAATGTATGCAACAATGTTTGACGTTTACACAGAGGAAGTTTTTCGTTTCGAAAGAGTGCAAATGCAAGGATAATACGATAATAAACACTACTACACAGGATTGCTTATCGGCCTCATTTGTGGAAATTGCGGCCATATGGTGTAACACTATTGACGACATCATCAACTACGTCGTCAGCTGTTTGTGCCAGCGGTGTAGTTTAGAATACAGTGAGGACATAAAGTCCGTCGCCCCCCCTCTAACTTTTGAACCGCTCGGTATATTGCAACGAAATTTTGAATGATGATATGTGACTAGATTCTCCATGTTTTGAAAATCAAATCACAGCTTCAGCTGTCAAAATGACAGCTAGGTGCAGTTTTGGAACGTTTTTTTAAATAGAAGGCGGTGTCGAATGATATATCGTTTTAAAGGTTTCTTTATTCTTAATTTAATCCCTGATTTTGAAAACATTTGGTTTAGCGGTTTTCAAATGATGACGAAAAAACAAAGGCTTGTTTTGCTCATAAACACTCATGAAAAAAAAAATTAAATTTTTTTTCTACTGACGTTTCATAATAGCAACTTTTCGATTGTCATTTCAGTTTTGAAACGACATTCTTTAAGGCACTGAGTGCGTGAAAGTTACTTTTAGGCACTCAGTGCGTAAAAGTGACTTTTGAATGCGTAAAAGTGACTTATGAGTGCGTAAAAGTAATTTTTAAGCACTAGTGCCTAAAAGTGTCATTCATTATTCAGAAATAAAAAACAACACTAAACACATATTTGAATTTTGTTTTGTATTTATTATGAATATTGAAAATGGAATTACTGAATTGAACGTTTGGGTTACTCAAAACAGAACTTTGTGTTATTACCTACTTTCTAGGATTTTAATTATTGATGTCGAATTTTGAAAAGAAAATCGCAT